GCAAATCGGCTGCAAGAGAGCTCTTTAAAGTGTTAAAAAGCAAAGACATCACCTTGAGGACTAAGGTGTGCCTGACCCAAGCCATGGTGTTTTCAATTGCCTCACATGCATGTGAAAGCTGGACAATGAATAAGGAAGACCGAAGAAGAATTGATGCCTTTGAATTGTGTTGGCCAAGAATATTGAATGTACCATGGACTGCCAAAAGAACGAACAAATCTGTCTCGGAAGAAGTACAACCAGAATGCTCCTTAGAAGCAAGGATGGCAAGACTGCTTCTCACATACTTTGGACATGTTGTTAGGAGGGATCAGTCCCTGGAGAAGGACATCATGCTTGGTAAAGTACAGGGTCAGTGAAAAAGAGGAAGACCCTCAATGAGATAGATTGACACAGTGGCTACAACAATGGGCTCAAGCATAGCAACAATTGTGAGGATGGTGCAGAACCAGACAGTGTTTCGTTCCGTTGTACATAGGGTTGCCATGAGTTGGAACTGACTCGACGACATCTAACAACAACAACAACATCATGTTAACAAATGTATTCTTGTTCTCTTTCCAATTGCCCCTACAAGGTTTTCTCTAATAGGTAGATTTTGGTAAAGATCAAATGCCATTTCAATGATCTTTGTATGGTTTTATTGTTTATCAAAGATTACTTGAGTTACCAATTGTTGGATAAGGGCTGGCAACAACTTTGTTATACAGAGATTTTTGTTATAGTAGAATTTATTGCAATTTGACCAGCAGCACTTGTGAAATGCCTGGGAATGTTATTTATGAGTTGTGATTCTCAAGTCTGCTCTTCCAATGGAATAATGAAAGTGATTTGAATCTTTAGCAACAACAAATTGGCTGCCCAAGAGAAAGGAAATGAGCAGGAATACAGAATTTCCTTGCAATTCTAAGTGTTCTGTGGGTTTCAGTTAGATAACCAATTCACCTACATCAGAAAAACTGTCACCCCTGCTCAGATGGTTGGATCCCTGTGCTGTTCACCAGAGTTAGGTAAGCAGGTGTGGCATAGCAACACAGTGTTGAAATCACGATGCCTCACTGTGGTCCTGTGGAAGGATGAAGTCCGAGTATGGATTCCCATCCTACCCCACAAAGTTTGTGGCTGGCGTCTCTCTCCAGACCTGAAGCCCTATTTCTTCCATGCTCATGTTACCAGGGGTCTCAGGTCTCACTCAGTGAAGCTATACAGACAAGAAACCGGTGAAAGTAAAAGAAGCAGCTTTATTTGGTTGGCCAAGCAAAGGAGCACACCAGGACTTGCGTCGCCAAGATGACTCCCTGAACAATGGCTGAAACAGCTTTTATTAGGGGCAAGAACTGAGGAAGGGACCTGGTGGGAAGGAGCAAGGTCGTTTATTGGTCTGGCCTGAAAAGCTGTTTCCAGGGTGATTCCATTGTTTGTGCTTGCTCAGTCCAAAAGGAGGGTGTCTCTCAAACTGGATCTTAGGCTCAGACCCTTCGTTTCTGAAAGTCTTCATCCAATCTTGGGCTGCTGAAGTTTGGTTCTGTCTGGCATGAGAAAAGTTCCAGGGTCACCCAGAAGATGGGGTTGATGGTTCTGCACATGTCAGGTGGGCCAGATTTGGTCTTAACTGGCTCTGTGGTCTTCAACCCCAGCCTCGTTTTTCTTATCTTGGGCAGGAAGTTGGCTGATTGCCTAAAAAACATCTGAAGAAACCAGTTAGAAGGGCAGGTAGCTTGTGCTACTCTGCTTACAAGTTGGGGGTTGGTAACGGTGCCTGAAGGCTGTGGGCCTTATTCAGTCTCTTAACTCTGTGCTTGGCCCTTTCCTCACGGTCTGAAGTAGTTTGGAACGCTGTCAACAGATCATTTATGGATACAGGATGAATCTTTATATACATTTTTTTAAAAAGACAACCAACTCTGGGATCATATGTTGATCTTATGCTCACATATGATTTAAAATATCTAAGGTCATTTTTATGGATTGAATTATGTCCCTCAAAAATGTATGTCAACTTGGCTTGGCCATTATTCCCAGTATTGTGTGACTGTCCACCGTTTTGTCATCTAATGTGATTTTCCTATGTGTTGTAAATCCTGCCTCCGTGATGTTAATGAGACAGCATTAGAGGCAGTTATGTTAATGAGGCAGGACTCGGTCTACAAGATTAGGTTGTGTTTTAAGTCACTCTATTTTGAGATATGAAAAGAGAAGCAAGCAGAGAGACAGGGGGACCTCGTACCACCAAGAAAGCAGTGCTGGGAGCACAGTGAGTCCTTTGAACCTGGCGTTCCTTCGCAGAGAAGCTCCGAGACCAGGGGAAGACTGATGATGACAAGGACCTTCCCCGGGAGCTGACAGAGACAGAAAGCCTTCCCCTGGAGCTGGCACCCTGAATTTGAACTTCTAGCCTCCTAAACTATGAGAGAATAAACTGCTGTTTGTTAAAGCCATCCACTTGTGGTATTTCTGTTATAGCAGCACTAGATAACTAAGACAGTCATATTGGTAGAGGGTCAGCAAAAAAGAGGAAGACTCTCAAGGAGATGGATTGACACAGTGGCTGCACATAGCAACGATTGTGAGGACAGCGCAGGACCAGGCAGTGCTTTGTTCTGTTGTACATAGGGTCTCTATGAGTCGGAGCCGGTTTGATGGCACCCAACAACAACAAGGTCATATTGAATACACGGGGAACAAAGTTTAATGATGGGATACAAAGAGATAAGATAAAAGCACAGGTAATCTTATGTTTTGTTGGTGTTCAGTTGTCTTAAATGCTCATGGCATTAAGGGAATCTGTTTATAGCAACCAACTCTCCTTCACAGCCAGCATTTTAACATAATATTTCAGCTGTCAATATCACTGTCAAGAATGTAATTTATTTCACCCTTTGTGCTTATTTGGATGGACATTTTGGAGATGAGGTGGCAGTGATTTAGTGCTGCTGAAAGTGGCACTGAGCCTGCTAACCTCACAGAACTCAAGTTGATCTCTTAAGCAAAAACAGGCCTGATTCTAAGTGAAAACGAAAATATTTCAATAAATTAAACATGCTGCAACCCTTCCATAGAGAAAAGGAAAAGTAAGAACATTTACGGTATCCTATTTCCAAGAAAGGCAGTGACTCAGTCACAGGCATGTCAGAATGATGTGTATATGTGAAAATACCCTGTCCTGGCTCCGCCCTTCACCCTCTTGCCTTCCCCACCAGAAGTTCTAATTCAGGGCATCTGAGGTGGGACCAGGCATTTGTATTTTTTTAAGCTCCCACTGGTGATTATGATGTCCAGACAGAGTTGAGAGAGACCATTAATTCTTTGGATGGATCTAGAAATTTGAAAAAAAAAAAAATGGATTGAAAAGAGGTCTAGCTAGAGGTCTTTTTTAGTCATCTCAGAGAGAAATGGATGGCAGGGAGGAGAGAGAATGGCGTTTACATCAGAGCTGGGGTCCATAGATGGGCAATTCTTAACTTTAGGGAAGTCATAGACCACTTTGAGAATCTGCTAAAAGTGATAGTTAATCTCCGCAGAAAAATACACATAGGCTAACCTCCACAAAATTTGGCATGTGATTTCAGGAGATTCCAGACTAGAATTTGCTTTTTTAACTGGATTGATAACCGTCCTATTCATTAAGGTAGAGAAAACAAGAGTAGGCCAAGTTCCTGGCCTCAAGAAGCATAGTCTGGTAGCCAGGAGAAGACATGAGGGAGAAAGCAATATACGCATACACAGGTGAAAGCAATAATCATAGGAGTTGTGTGTTCGGGTAGGGTGGTGTTCTGGAAGCTAATATTGAGCTGAGAATTTGAATAGGTTAAATTGGAGACGGTTATCAGAAACGTGTGCTTTGAGAGGCAACAGTTTAAAGAACGAGACAGGTTTGGTATGAAAACTAAAAAAAAGAATGGCGGTCAGCCTGATTAAGACAGGTTGAGTAAAAGAGGATCCGCTGAGGGAACCCAGTAAGGTTACGTTTGGAACAGAAGTTAATGATGAGCGTGTGATAAAAATGGCATTTATCCACAGCTGCTGCTACAGGTCATTGACATGGTGCCACTGGTAGTTTGGGGTTTGAGGTAGAGAGAAGCTATTAAAATGTTAATGAATACAGTTTTATAACGGGCTCAGATAAGACATTGGGAGGTAGAGAGCAAGCTTGCGCTGGGAGGGTGGACTTGGAGTCCGCTATTCATCGCCGGGTCAGAAGTTGGCCCTGTGTTTGTTCAACACCATGAAAGAAAACCTCGGAGAGCGCTGAGTGGTGGAGAGGTACATTCAGCCAGTGGGCATGCAAAATGAATTTTAGCTGCTATGTGCAAAAACTTTAGGTGTGGACAGAAGGGAGCCAGCCAGAAGGTTACAACGGGTCAGGAATAAATAACCACCAGGCGGAGGATCCCATATTCTGTCCTTCCTTTTGTTGGGTGAGGAGCGCCAGGCAAACGCGTCCACAAAGGCTTTGGAAGCAAGCGGTTCGACTGTCCACACCCGACCCTAGCCGGGGTAACTAGTAGGGAGCCCGGGGGCAGTGACAGAAGCCCAGGACGCGGGGAGTTGGGCTCTCCCTGGGAGGCCTTGCAGCGGGGACCCCAGAATAAGTCGGGGACGGGCCGCGGCACAGCAGGAGGGGGCCGAGAGGGCGGGCAGATCCCACCCCTTCCTGAAGGAAGCGCCCTCCCCGCCGAGACTGCCGCCGCCACCGCCGCTTCGCAGGTCACGGCCTCACCGCACCGGAGCAGGTAGGCGCGGCGCCAGCAACGCTCCCTCCTTTCCCCTGGCTGGGCCTGGAGGCGGAGACCGGGCGCGGCGGGCGCTGCAGCGGGGCCGGGACGGCGGGGGTCTGCCTGGCCACGGGGCGCCGCGCGGCTCCAGCCCCCGCCTCAGAAAGTCCCGGGGCGGTGCCGCCCTCCCGAGCCCCCTGCGGGCGCACGCCCTGTGCGAGGCGCGGTGCCCGGCGGCGTCTTGGAGCCGTGCTGGCTTTCCCCGCGCCTCTGTCCCCGCCGCCGCCGCAGTGCCGTCCGCCGAGCCTCTGCACTGTCCGCCGGCTGCGGCCGCTGCCCCGTCCTTTGACAGGTATCCCCCCGCCGCCCCATCCGGATACCCAGGCCTTTGTTACCGGATGGACTATAGTCGGAAGCGACCCCCAAGTTTGGCCCCTCGGTCTCTCTGGTTCACTTTACCGTTAGCCACGTCAGGTTGGCTCGGGAGGCAGGGATCCGGGCAGGAGACGCTAACTTGCCTTGCCGTGTACACCGCCCTCCACTCTAAATGCTCCGTCGTGCTTTCCTTTCCTCGGTGCACACTTGGGAAGAAAATGTGATTTTTCGATTTCTCGGTGAGCCGGAGGAGGATGGGTGACCGAGGCTGTTTGATCATCTGGTGCAACAAAAAAGTGATTAGCCTTGGGTTATGGACAGGGCCCTTGTTCGGTAGTTTTCCCCTCCTTAAACGAATCTAATAGAGAATGAGAGAGTTTTCCCATTTTTAAATTAATTTTCCTTTCCTCTCTACTCATCCCTCTCTTCCCTCCACCCTTAGCCTCACAGTACTTTATTACATCCCAATACTTCACTGGTGGGTGGGTGGGTGGGTGTGTGTATGAGGTTTATTCCGGCCAGACCTCGTTTCATGGCTGAGCCTGGATTGTGACTACAAATGTGAGAACATAGCCCAGTTGGAATAGAAGACCCTCTCAGACTCTGAGGGGGACCCATTCTGATGTCTTACCTGCATGATCTGTTAGGAAACCAAGTATGTTAACAACTTATATATTTTTTAAAACAGTTCTTGGATCATTACAGTAACAAAAGCCTAAAGGGTAATATTAGTTTCTGTTTATTTCTCTGCTTGAATCAAGGGCATATTTTAATAATGCGGGGGTGTATCTCCATTCTAGGCTGTAGTTCTTCGAAAGGATAGGCGAATGCGAATGTATATCCTCGATGGTAGCAGTTAATAAATTGACCTACTTAAAGTTTTCTATTTCAAGGAGAAATGATTAGGTTCATATATGTAATATTTGCAGATCAAAGAACAACGTAGTCTCAGTTTTCATGCATTAAACTTTTTCTTTTATGTGTCCTGGAGACATAATGTTTCCAAGATAAACTATAGCTGCCATCTCTTAATAAGCTAAAAATTTGAGCTTAATCTTCAAGGCATAAGTGTAGGAATTTTAAGGGCATGTACTTTATAAATTATTTAATAAATGTTTTACAAGCTTCCCAAGTTGGAAGCTCAAAAACTAGACAAGGTGAATAAAAGGGTAAAGAAGTTTTGCTAACAATAATGACTAGTTGATAGATGTTAATGACATTAAGCAAACATGTTAAAGTATTTGAAAAATGCATGTTTATTATAATAATCTTGCCATTAGCTGAAGACAATCTGTTTGGATTACTTAAAGCCACATTAGAATGTCTTTATAGCAATTGTTTATTTCACTTTTTTTTTTTTTATCTACTGCCTTTCGCAAGTTGCTTTTTGGAAGGAGATATTTTGCTCTGTGGAATAATTTTTTCTGCATGAACATAATAATGCATTATACTTGGGCTTTGTTATAGAACTACCACAATCATGCTTGCAGAGATGTTGCATTTTTTTTCCTTTAAATTTTATTTACTTTGTTGTTGTTGAGAATATACACAGCAAAACATACACTGTCTTATTTATCTAGTGCTGCTGTAACAGAAATACCACAAGTGGATGCCTTTAACAAACAGTTTATTTTCGTAGAGTTTAGGAGGCTAGAAGTCTGAATTCAGGGCTCCAGCTCCAGGGGAACGCTTTCTGTCTCTGTCAGCTCTGGGGGAAGGTCCTTGTCATCAGTCTTCCCCTGGGTCTGGGAGTTTCTCAGCTCAGGGACCCCGGGTCCAAAGGACGTGCTCTGCTCTGGCTCTTTTTTCTTGTGGTAGGAGTTCCCTCCTCTCTGCTCAATTCTCTCTTTTAAATTTCAAAAGAGATTAACTCAAAATATAACTTAATCCTGTAGATTGAGTCCTGCCTCATTAACATAACTGCCTCTAATCCTGCCTCATTAACATCCTAGAGGTTAGGATTTACAACACGTAGGATAATCTCATTAGATCACAGAATGGTGGACAACCTCACAATACTGGGAATCATGGCCTAGCCAGGTTGACACACACTTTTGGGGGACACAATTTAATCCATAACATACACCAATTCAGCAGTTTCTACACGTACCATTTAGTGACATTGATTACATTCTTCAAGTTATTCTCACCCTTTTTTTCTGAGTTGTTCCTCCCTCATTAACATAAACTCACTGGCCCCTAAGGTTCCCATCCAGTCTTTCAAGTTGCTGTTGTCAGTTTGATCCCATATAGATAGTTCTTAAAAAAGCATCATGCTCAAGGCAGACCTTTTTTACTAGTTAGAAACTATTGTTTGGTTTTAAGAAGACTTCAGGGGATATTTTTGGTTCAAGGTGGAAGATGATCACAGGGCAATAGTTTCAGGGGTTCATCCATTCTCCGTGGCTCTGGAAAGTCTAGAGTCCATGAGAATGTGAATTCTCTTCTGCATTTTCCCCCTTTTGATCAGGATTCTTTTGTGGAATCTTTGATCAAAATGTTCCGTAATGGTAGCCGGGTACCATCCAGTTCTTCTGGTCTCATGGCAAAGGAGGCAGTTGTTCATGGACGCAGTTAGGCACACATTCCATATCCTCCTATTCCTGACTCTTTCTTCTTCCTCTGTTGTTCCAGGTGAATAGAGACTAATTGTTGTGCCTTGGATGACTGCTTGCAGGCTTTTAAGATCCCAGGCACTACTCAAGGAACTAGGAGGTAGAACAGAAGCACTAAATACTTGAAAGTTGGAATAAAGCACCAAATAATTAAGCCAATTTACTGGCATGTCCTGTGAAACCATGACCCTGAACCTCCAAATCAAGGAACCGAATCCCTGAGGTGTTTGGTTATACTTAAGCAGCTTCGCACCTACTCTTTTTTTTTTTTTTTTTTGGTCGTTGTTGTAAATATATCTATCACACAACTTTTGCCAATTCAACTTTTTACAGGTTACAACTTATTGACAGCAATTACAATAATCAGCTGTGCAACCCTACCCTTAATCTGTGCGATTTTTCCATCACCATTAATCCCCCTTTCCACCCTCCCTCCTGCCCCTGGTAACCACTAATAAACTTTGGTCTCTTTACATTTATCTTTTCTTGTCTTTTTATGTAAGTGAGGTTATAAAATATTTGTCCTTTAATGATTGGCTTATTTCCCTCAGGATAATGTCTTCAAGCTCCATCCATACTGTGGCATGTATCAAGACTTCATTTCTCCTACTGGCTGAGTAGCATTACGTTGTATGTATGCACCACATTGTATTTATCCATTCGTCTGTTGGCAATTTTTTTTTTTTAAAGAAGTACTCACTCTACCTGCTTTGTGATGGTCAAGAGGGAAGGCACTATGTCTTGTTTTTAGGCCACAAAAATTGATTTACACTCATGTGTGTACACCTGCTTTGTTGCCCTGTGAGTCCAGCACATCTCTTTAATACAGTGGCTGGATTAGCTGGGCAGCCTGGAGTCACGAAAGAGGAAAGGCTAGCTGGCCCCTGCAGTCTTAGCTGTTTGGTTTCACTGTAGTCTGACCTCTTAGGACCATTTCAGTAACCAGTTAAGCAAGGCAGATACTGACAAGATGATGTATTACCTCTCAGTCTTCCCCTTCCTAAGAAGAATCTACAACACTCAGAATCAGCATGACAGTGTTGATTAGGTTCTTGTGAGGCTCAAATGAGATACGTCCCAAAGTTCCTAAAACATGATACAAAGACAAAGTGTTAACTGAATCCGGGTCTGAGTTGATGTAAAAGCTGGGACCAGTTAGATAATAAGTATTTTCTTTATCCTAATGGTAACAACAGAAATGTGTTCCTATTTATTTTAATTATAACATAAACTTTTGTTCCTGGAGCTGATGGTTTCTCATAAATTGCTGTAATAACAAGTTATCGTTATCACCAAATCTCATTTTCTTGCTTGTTTGGATTTTGAAAGATAACTTTTGACAATGGAAAGTCTTAATGTAAAGAGATTTTAGACAGGCCAGTTTGAATATTTTGAGATAATAATGGAGTCTTTGGCAGTAGCCTTCAAATTAAACCCCAAAGTACTCTGAGTCACACCAGCTCAGCTAGGTAGGGCTTATGATTCTTTTACCAAGAGAAAAATGAACAACTTTCTTTTTAGCATCTGTAAATGGCCTTTCTCTAGATTAGCAAGGTCCAGTAGAATTTTCTGCAGTGATGGAAATATTCCATATAATCAATCTGTGCTGTCCAATATGGTAGCACTAGCCACATGGGGCTACTGAGCCCTTGAAATGTGGCTAGTACAACTGAGGAACTGAATTTTAAATTTTATTTGATTTTAATTAATTTAAATTTTAAATAGCCACATATGGCTAGTGGCTACCACTGGATACCAGTTGCCATTGGCTACCCTACGTGTGTCAGAGTAGAACTGTGCTCCACACAGTTTTCAATGGCTGATTTTTTGGAAGTAGATCACCAGGCCTTTCTTCTGAGGCACCCTGGGAGGACTCCAACCTCCAACCTTTTGGTTAGCAGGTTAGCAGCAGAACACATTAGTTTCGTTACCATTGACATAAATGGTTTGCAAGTCACTTTTTTTAACCCTCAGGACCTCATTAGCAAGACATTATTCCAGTTCTAATGCATTTAGCGTCAGCTGGGTCCCCTTTTGGAGCCCTGGTGGCAAAGTGATTAAGAGTTTGGCTGCTAACCAAAGGCTGGCAGTTCGCATCCACCAGGTGCTCCTTGGAAGCCCTATGGGGCAGTTCTAATCTGTTCTATAGGGTCTTGCTATGAGTCGGAATCGAGTCGATGGCAATGGGTTTCGGTTTTTTTTTTGAAATGCATGAAGCTCATCATACTGGAGTTGCAGCATAATTGTTGTGTAGGTTGAGCATTCTATTAGGTGATGCTTCCAAGTTGTGTTAGTTTTGTAAACTTCTGCCTTTTTTTCCTTTATTTCTATGAGATAAGGCTTGCAAGCGTAATTATGGCTT